ATGTATCTGTGGATAAAATAACCTAAAATATCCTGGATGTGTTTAATACAGAAAATTGTATAGCCCCATAATGATTTTTAGTTATTTATGAGTTGTTCTCATTTTGACATAAAAATTATACTCGTTTTGACAACTTACTAGGCTATATATTTTATAACCCAGACATAGCTTGGGGTAAAAGCTCCCCAAGGATATATTTGCATTGGTGGGGTTTATAACTGTTCCATTTCTTGACATATTCCAACTGTTATGTTTAGGAATGGGCGATGGAGGTCCCAATGGATCGTCACAATCAACAATGGTTCCGCAGAGGTCAGAGGCATTTTGAAGGTCCAAGTCCACTACTATGAAGATGGAAATGTCCAACTTGTTAGTTCGAAAGACATAAAAGAAGTCCTTGGAGTTTCTGTGAGTATTTGAGTTAACAATATTTCAAAATTTTAGTTGTGTGTTGAAATAGAAATATTGATTTTGTATACCTACAAACTGATGGTGTTGACTAGAAGTGTGCTAAGATTGATTAATACCAATAATTGCTATTTAGGTCAATGCAAAAAGTAAAAACCATGACATAGCTGAATACTTTACCTTTACTTGTAACATACTTGCGATGAAATAAAATTCAGTCATATGACTGGGGGGTTTAAATCCAGGCAAAGAATAATTTATTTGATAGCTAACTTTAATTCATAAGCCTTACCAGGTGGGTTGCTTCATCTTTGCATTCCAGAAGGAGCACGCTGACTTGGATTAAAAAGCTGGATCCAGTTTGTTTAAGATAAAACCCATACAAACTCTGTGTATATTGTTTTGGTTATACAGGTTTTTAAGAGCGGACTTAAGCATTTAAGGGCTTAAGTCAGGGATATTTCAGAGTTTTTTAAAAGGGGATGATAATTGATGTCATGCGCTAAGTATATAATTTCATTAAAACTAGGGATGTGTCGATTCTTGTTACCGAATCTCGATGCCACGGATACTTGGACATTGGTACAGAATCGAGAATTGATTGTCAATTCCAATACCGATACCCAAGATGTCTGCGAAGATCGCGCGGTTAGAAAATTACCGATATTGCCGCGATCACGTAAGACAATGACGTTTCCGTGACCGTAAGACGATGATAATGTTTACATAACTGTAAGATATGTTCATGATATCTCCGCGATCGCGCAAGGCAACGATGACGTTTTTTCTTGACCACAGGAGCCTATGGTGATGTCTACACGGCTGTGGGAGATGATCGGAATGTTTCCGCGATCGGTAAAGACGATGATAAGGTCTATATGTCCACGGGAGACGATGATGATGTCTGCAGGACCGTGGAAGATTATAAGAATTTTGCCCCGATCATGGAATAATTTGATGACCTCTACATGTTTGATCTCTAAATTAAAATATTAGGCTGGCACACCTCTAGTTATAATAACATTTTATTTTTATTTTGTTGTTGTCAGATCTTCATTTACCTTTGATGTGGTGTTTATTTCAGGTGTTTTGAAGGGTTTAAACTTAAATTTGCAAGTTTAAATTTTCATTGCCGCATTAATTTGTTATTTTCTTGAAAAACATCCCATTACCTCAAAAATACTTTATGGAAGATAAAGACAGGGATTGGTACAGTATAACCAATCCATCCAGAAAATTTTATATAAAACTATAAAAAGTGGTTTCGGTATTGAGAATCAGGATTTGATTTTTCTGGTATATTTATCGAGAATCACATTTATCACATCCCTAATCTTTCCAGAGCGAAGAACAAACCGCTAAGGACCTAGTGAAGCTAATAGAAGAGACGGAAAGCAGTTATCAGAAAGCCATTTCTGACAATTACCAGACAATGAGCGACACGACGTTCAAGGCCCTACGACGTCAGTTGCCCGTCACACGGACCAAGATCGATTGGAACAAAATCGTCAGCTACAGCATCGGCAAGGAGCTCAAGAGTCAGTGACCCCCATATTCGGTAACTTCTTCAGTTAATCTCTTCATCTTATGTTAATCTTGTTACGTTCAATAATCTTTTATCTCGTTTATCATTTGGAGTGCGACGCTCATTTATATTCCGCTTTGTTGGACTGCTTGTTATCGTCTGGCGCTGAGTGTACGTTGTTAGACTTTAAAGTGTCTAGTGTTACTGGCTGGTGGAGGTTGTTGTTGAAATTTATTCTGTTAATCGCCGTGGCTGATGGACTCGCCTTTTCGGTCATTTGGCAATTATTTATTTAATATACGATTCTAAAGGATAGAACCGCTGTGTTCACTGGCATCGTTCAACCGTGTCACCGTGTGAACTCGGATCACTCTTCTTGCCTATCTAGTTTTCTCTCATCTTTTTTAATTGTTTCAGAATCTAAGATTTTTGAATTTTAACTAATCGAGTGAACTTTGAAGATGTAATTAACTTTTATTTTTAATTTATTATTAATTCGAGGTATGCAGTCTTACTGATTTTAAGAGAGGTTCTTGATCGATTGTTTCTGTATTTTATATATTTAATTTTTTTATCCAGAGTTTATTGATGGAAATAATTGTTTGTGAAGCTGAATTCTCGTTTTGGTCTTTGCTGCTCAAGCAACTACTGTGCATTTAATTACCGTAAATGTACGTATATAATAACAATCATCAGTTTGTAATTGTAGTTTAGGTACCAATGTTGATTTAGAACAGTACAAGTAGACTTCTGATCCTTTTGTAAAATCTGAAGCTTTGTTTTATGTTTCATGGTTGGGATGTTGAGGGCTAGTATCGACAAAATGTGTTTTCTCTTATTTGAGGATTTGTGCTTTACTGTTTGATTATAAAACCAGCAAAGGATCTTTTGTTTATAATTAGATTGTTTCATTTGGTCAAACTAGTGTTGAAATAAGTGAAATAACAAGAATCAAACAGTAAACAAAAACACATCCTGTACAGGAACCTGACGGAACATAATAATTGTATTCAGCTGACCCATAAAAATAATGAATTTGTAAAGGAATATGTTTAATCCATGGTACCAATTACGAAGTGTAACATGTACTTACATTATATTACTTGAGCAGCAATTCCCAAAGACTGAATCAATTTAATTAATCCTGGTGATTACAACGGATTATATTATTTGCTTTCAATTGCATTATTTATATTATACATTTATATGTTAGTTTTAATAGTATATTTATTAATCAGCTTTTTACTGTCTCAGATCATATAAATATTTATTTTAATCATCCATGATTTAAAATCATCAGAGTGATGTAATATACATGTATTTTAAGTTATAGTTTCTAAAACTTGATTTTAACATTGTCGTTCAGCATGCGGAACCATGTTCCTACAGTTAAAGTCATACTTGCATTTATGTACTGTTGATGATTTTGGGTGTCATAGCGTAACAATAAATGACATATATTATTTTAAATACTGCTCTGTTAGTAACTCAATTTATGATTTATTGAAATAGTATATTGAATACAATCAATTATTAAAGAAATTTTGTTTAAATACACCAATAGTTGTTATTTTACCTGTGTGAAGATCCTAGTATAGTATTTGGAAGAAGGTACTAAAGATCGGTAGAAATTTGTAGTTCACAGAAAATTATAATACTACCTTTATCCCTCTAACATGAAAATCTTTCGTAATTATATTGTTTTTTTTTTTTATTGGTACATAACATGAATTCCTAACACATTGAAGAATCAACATTTTAAATTTATGTTAAGTAAAAATAAAAATTTTGTGGCAGATGTTTCAATACAAAACAAGATCACAAATATAACATTCAACTACATTCATCTTTACTATTCATTATTACTAAATCAAATACTCAAAATCTTTAGTTTAATGTTTCTCCCCTTAAAAACTTAAATTTCAACAAAAGTATACCCGGGTCTTTACTCCAGGCCTGCGTAAATAAATACCCTAAGGTTTGGGTATTTATAAAAAAAAGTATAAACATTAGGAGTGTTTTGCATAGGCCTAGTTCATTGTACAGGGTATTTAAAAAAGACTCATCTGATTTCATAGGTTTATAACGTCAAAACTAATGATCATACGGACATGAGGTTATTTTTATATCAAATTATATCTCGTAAAGTTTTTTTATTTTTTACTTACTATTTAAATGCTTAATATGACCCCCTTTAGATGTTCATCTTATGTCAACGCGATACTCGAATTCGTCCAACACCTTAGCTAGCATGTCTTGAGTGATGAATTCCAACTGCTCTAGTGTGGTTCTTCAGTTTAACCAATGTTGTTAGAAGGATATAGACAGTGTCTTTTACAAACCCCCTCATAAAGAAATTACAAACAGTAAGGTCTGGTGACCTTGGAGGCCATTGACGTAACGCAGAATCGTTTGGTCCAGGCGATCTATCTTTTAGGAAGCCTACTATTCGAAAAATCTCACATGAATATTCCAGTTTAGTGGGGTACCATACCGTACTGTTGGTATATAAAAAAAACTTTATCAGTTATCCTTTAATATAAAATTTACCTCATGTCCATATGAACATTAATTTTGAAATTGTAAACGTATAAATTGGTATTTTTCATGTCAAAATGATTAAAAAAATTATAGTCATTTGTTGGATATAGGGTATAATTATATGTTGAGTTAAAGACCTGAGATACTCGTGAAAAATACCCATATGCTAAAATTGTGGGTATTTATGATTTTTTTAACCATCGGTTTTATAGATTTTCTGTTCTGGAGGACCAATTACCAATATATAACATACATTTTTTATCATGCCTAATTTATTCACACATGATACATTTTTTTGTAGTAAGTGAATTTACTAATATTAAATATTACGAAGTTGGACAATAAATTTAGTCAAATACAAAAATCAATTGATTGGCTCAGGAAACTCCATCATTGCTTTTAAACTGAAATTTGATAGTTGGTTGTCAAATGCTACACCAAGTGATAAAAGAAAACAACTTGGGATCACAGTTAACATTAAGGGGAAACTTATCTGTGTAAAATAAAACTTAAGTCGGTTGTTTAACAAGTTGTTTTATTGACAACATTTACTGATGAACAACTTACACATAACAACAATACTCTAGAAACAGAAAGTCATACAAAATTTTCAAAATTCAAAACTGCACACAAATTACAGCAGACATCGTATAGGCTATTTACAAAAGCACACCCTTACACCTCGAGAAACGATGTCCAGTATACTATGTTCAAAACAAAAAATGAAAACGGGAAAAAAAATCTGGAGAATTGATCGATTGAGAGGGCAATTTCCCTACCATTGCAGAAAGTGGGGTATTGTGGTAGAGATGGGAGAATAGATGCCCGTGGGGGGCCCCTTCCAGATGGATCCAATTCCTGCCAACACAAAAAATGGCTTTTCATTTCGTAAAATGGTAAATTTTGTTCTGTTTTAGCACTAAAAAAAGAGTGTTAACGTCAACTGCAAAAATTTACTATAATAACAAAAATACCTTAATTCTAAAGTTATGGGATTTCCAAACAAATTCTACAAAAACCACACAGGATGTTAAAAAGGTAATATTATCACCGTAAAATGCTATCATGTAAGAAGGATGTAACTACTTAGTTTAAAACAACTTGTTTAAAAAATCTTGTTTCTAAATCTTAACGAACTAACCTAACAAAATGAAAAATGTAACCACTTAGTTGTGTTTGTTTGTATATAATTTATTTTCCATCCTACCATGATACTATATACCATGTAGGGTTCAAGTTCTTAAAAATTGTCTTTGTAAACGTAATATCCCCCACCACAAAACCTCACATTCTTGCAAACACTTTTTGTTTATACGTTAGCTTATCATGTAGATGTAATGTAGGTACGAAATGGAATCTATAAAAATGCATCATAAAAATGATGTCCAATATACAACGTTAAAAACAAAAAAAGAAAATGGAAAGAAGAATTTAGAAAATTTGTCAATGAAAAGTGCGATGTGCCTAGTGTTCCAAATATTGGCATATTGAGGCAGAGGAGGGATTGAGGTCCTGAGAGGACTTCTCATCGAGGGACTCAGCTCCTGCAAACATAGCATCGGGTTAGAGTTGGAGGAATAACACAGACTGGCAATGTGGTGGTGAAGGGGGATGCCCTGCATCCAAGCAAGCCAAGACTCTGAACAAAATCATATTATTTTTACTTTTATATAAAGGTTGTTTTCAAATTGTCTGGACATATTTGTGGATTTGTTCCTTGGGCTAAGAGAAACATAAAATGCTATGGGTCTAAAATGGCTAAATTTCTGTTTGTCAGTCTGTTTGTGATTTTATCTAGGGTATTTTTCAAGATAGAAATTTCAAAATTGGTATAAATGTGTATTTGAAAAGGTAAAAAGAGCGTACAAAGTTTCGTTCCAATATCTCAAGCCGTTTTAATATGGCGCTTATTTAAAATCTTTAACGCCAAATTTCATGAAAACCGTACAAATTAAGAAAACTGTTCTTACGATCAAAAAGATAGAGAATTTAAATTCAAATCAAATGAGACCTTGTTTGTTAAAATCGGATGACAAACAACCGAGGTATCACTTTTTTTCTACATTCGGTTACGCAATTTAATAGGACTACCATACTGTTTATTAGTTATTTTACAGAGCAGTATGGTAGTTGAAGTCTCTTCATACATTATTGGTTTGGTAGAGAAAAAAGGCAGAGAAGGCTATGGTAACTTCTTTCGACCAGCAGGGAGGTGTTTTGACGACTCTTATTGGTTCCTTAGTTTGTTTCTAAACGGCAGGTACCAGAGCACTCACTGTAGCTGTTTCGTAACAACACTGGGTTGATCAGTTGGCCAGTAACGTAAAGATGCGAAATCACTTTGGAACCATAGGCGTATTCACAGGGAGTGCCGTGGCAAAATTTTAATAGCCTGACTTTTTTTCAAATTTAGTTCCAGTATCTGTCTATTTTATTGATTGTTATACCTGTGGTTGATAGAGTTAGTCTTTAGAAAATGTGGTATGATACGGGATCGATGCATGCATTCAATCGAGTACAGCATAAAAATACAATCGTAATACTTAGTACCAGTGAACGAAGGATTTTAAACTTGACCATTGTGAAAAGTAAGCCGAGCTCTACAATGAGTCAGGATCGGCTTGAATATCTAATGATACCATTTGTAGAAGAGTCGCCCCAAGAAAAAACCAATGAAGTTATTTTTTTATATAAATATAAGTGGTTCCGTTTAATAGTATAATGTTTTTATTGCAGTAGTCCACTTGTCTACATGTGGTTTCAAGGCTAAATTATAAGCACTATAATTTAAGTTTCTTTCCTCTTAAAAATGTACCATAAACATAGTTTTCACTGTCTAGAAAGAGTTTGGTTGTTTAAATAAATATTTGTTATTATACTAACTGAAATTATGTGTTGTTTACTATTTGTTTGCTATTTAAATTACTTACCGTTACTGTAAAGAGTAAACCAATTTGAATTTTAGAAAGAGAAATTTGTTATTAATGTTTCTAATTGGTGCTGTTGAAACTAGTTTGTTTATGTCTACAAGGTCAACATTTATTCAAAGCAACTAGACAATTTGTGTAGTTTAACAATCCAAAACGTGCACACAAATAGGAAAACTTATTCTAATAGTAAATTATAACATTTATTGCAAGATAGTAAAGGGTATGGTATGTCTGAATCACAAATAGCAATAAATGTAAAGTTTAATGTTAACAAGATACAAAAAAGCCGCACAAATTGTTAAAACTCGCAAATTTTGCTCCAATTTCCAAGCATTCCCAAGAAGGCCTGGCACTCCCATTTTCAGTGAAAAGATATGTGTTTGCCACAATGCAAAAGAAGAGGTTTATTATTTGGACACATTAAAAACTATTTTATTTACATTGATGGTGCTAAGGATAATGAACAATTAATGTGCTCTTAGTTGTTTGATTTTGATTCTGGTATAAATTTGGTTGTCGGCTGTAAGACTGTAGATGTAGTTAATGATTATCCAAGTTGTTGGTTTTAAACCGATGAACTTAGTGTTCAATGAAACGTCTCAGGAAAAAACGATCAGCTCTTAATTTACTTTCCCTTGCTCTCAATCAGTTCTCCGCAATGCACGCTAGAGTTTGTTTAAAATTTATTGATATTATTGAAATCATCTGTTTTTACTGTTAGACAATACAGGATGTGAACAGAAATGGACTTGTTTTTAGCTTCTATCGCCTGTTTACTGCACAGCAAAACTTAAACTTCTAATTTTTACGTTGTTATTTAGGTTTGCTATAACCTTTTTGTTTTTATCTTTAGGGAATTTCCCCGTAGGGAAGTACGTATTAAAGTAGGTGGCACAGAAATACCTAAACGCGGGACTGATTTACTTTTCGTACAGAGGCTATGTTCTTTTATAGTCATTCCATACTTAAGACTTCTTGTAAAGAGACTAATACGTTTTTAGACTTATAAAGTGTTTATATATTTTGTTCACTATGTAGGGGCAAATTGTGCATTGAAAGTTTTAGGGTTTTCAAAGGGGGAAAACCTGAGAAACTTAAAATACTGTATGACAAATCAGTAATTTGTTAAATTGTGATTCATTATAGCATTCGCATCACACACATTTTTCTCGAAATAATTCAGTATTTTGGATTATAATGGAGTGGTTTTTCAAACTACAGAACTACAGCTGTTGTTAGGGTTTATATTTTTGTTATTGACCTTGAGATCGTCTAAACCTCCTCTAACGTCTTCTTCAGAATATCCTTTCATCGCCTTTGTTGCGATGGGGCCCATGTAGTTGTTGACTACAGCAAACTCCATCAGAGATAGGAACACAAACACAGAACACGATGACATCCAAATGTCAATGGCCTTCACGTAAGACACTGGTGGTAGGGATTGTTGTGATTGTGTGTTTTGTGTTGCTAAAACATAATAAACACTACATGAAAAACATAGTTTTTATTTGAGCTAAAAGTGTATTGAAAAGTGCCATAAAAAGTTTATATTTTACTTTCTTACACATACCTTACAACTACTGAATATAAACTAAATAATGAAAAACATAATTTTATTCCTTTTTTTGTGCTAAATAAAAAAATGTTTTTACACACCCCAGATGATCACCTATGACACGTAAGCACCACCGTGTTAAGCTACGTAGACAAAAAATCAAAATCGTGTCTTGATATGTAACTCTGTACAGAATACAGATGTTATTGCCGTATTCCTTTTTTGTTTAGTTTTAAACTTTGTTTACTAAATCCACACATACTATCACTATGAGGTTTTGAAACATATTCTCCAATTTGTACAGTGAAACTCTGATTAACCAAATTAAAGGATGTAAAGCTGTTTTGGATAAACTATTTTTTTTCAGTCAATGGTTTGAATTTAACGACCATTTCATTTCATAAGATCTACAGCAGTAATTTTTTATGTTATTTTTATTACTAATATCTTAAAATCTACGACTAAATACACAAAACCTATTACTGTACTTAAAATAATTGAGAGTTGTTTTCTGAGCTTTATATCACAGTTTGAGATCCTTGTCATAGTCTGCTCTATTAACCTTTGTCTGTGTCGGACCAACTACTCATGTCACGGAGAACAGTCCCCGTTACCTATTTCATTTTCCAATTGAATTGAATTTGTATCATGGTATCAGTAAATCGGGGTTGCAGTTGCAGTTTTAGGGGGGGTTTTACTGTATTGACTTATGAGTTTTGAACAAGGGTTTGGTCCCTGGGCGATGAACGACGGAGGGGTAACTGTAGTTGATGCAAAAAGTCCCAAGGCATCATATAAAGATTATGTAAGTCAATGTTTGTACTTTCATATATCAGTAACATAATAATATACAAACCTAATGTCAGCAATGAAGTTACTCCCAAAGTGACCCTAGCTGGAATTGCCTCAGGTTTGATCCAAAATGATATCCAAGACATGACAACGATTAAAGCTGAAGGAATGTATGTGTGAAACAGGTGATAGCCCAGTCGTCTTCTTAAGTTGAACACTACTGCTAAGCATGTAAAGTTTCCTGAAAGAAGATCAAATAAGAATCGTAAATATAGAGGGTATCTGAAAAAGCATGCCGGGATTTTAAACGGTCATTGCTGGGGGACTATTCAGAATAACTAAACGATTTCAAAGTCAAATTGTATTTTGAAAAGACATTCACCTGGCTGGCCAAAAACAAGTGATGTCAAAGACGAAGAATTTGGCAATTCTGCATGAGAAGACCGAAAAAATCGATTGTCCGACGAAGTCTCCATTCGAACATGCCTAAATCCACACTCAACAATGTTATTCGTAAAAGATTGAGACTTCAGCTCAACGCCGATTGCCCTAAGCGTACAGACTTTGCTAGTTTTATGATCATATGATTTTGATTTTATCAAAGTATGAACAAAAGTTGTTCTTTTCCCTTAAATTTGACATTTGAATTGATTAATTACCTTTGAATAGTCCCCAAGCAACTGCCATTCAAAATCCTGGCATTCTTTTTCGAAACCCTGTACAGTGTCGAAGTTTAATAGACGAACCATCTACTTCATCCATCATATACCATCATCTTCATCCATCTACTCACCTACTTGAGAACGATTATAAGTTTGGATGCTTGGCTTCCAAGAAGGATAATGAGGATTGTATAGTTAATGGAGTAGATTAAAGTCTTATAACACTTCTGAAAATGAAAACATTAAGTTTGAAGAACAATGGTTTATTATACAAACTTGTTTGTGTTAAGTGATTGTATGGATTATACAGGCCAACCAACAATTGTGATTTTGTCTCATGATCCTTTTTAAAACATCCAGTATCAAACCAGCAATGTTCAGCTGATCAACCCGTGATCAGACTAACTGCATCACAACTAAAGTACGTAAATGATGAACATACCAGTTGAGTATTCAATGGTACAATCAGCTGTGTAGTTGTTAGATATGTCCAGTTGAGGCAGTTCTATTTCTGGATTGACGACTAATGGGTCCGTCATGTTCCATATGAACACCAAATCATGTGTTGTATGAGATACTGAAACATGTAAAAGATAAGCCCAAATCTACCAAGTGATTCCAGATGAGTATAAACATTAAAATATTAAATGAAAAAGTCTCAGAAAGACTATACAATTCCTATAAACAAGGGTTTTTTGGAAACATTACTATGATTAAGCGTGTTCCACTTGAAATTGTCACTTTTATTTTCTACGCCTGTGGCCTTTTAAATTTTGTTGACAAACTTATATAAAATGGAAATGGAACACAGCTGGTCTGATGTTAAAGCACAGGACTTGTGTGCCAGAAGCCTTGGTTCAAATCTCCCCAATCACCAATGACTATACTTTGTGATAGTGTTGAAACTAGGTGATTGGAAGCCCATCCAAAGCTTATGATCCACATATCAAGAAAAAAAGTGGAGAGGTCTATGCAATGATAGTACACAAAATAATGTTTGGAGCAATTACAAGATTCAACAACAAAAGTATTTTATTATTACAGTGGAACGTAATTTCCTCTGCTTTTATTTTTACAATGACTTGTTTTGGCATAATTCAGTAGTTTTAGGTTATGGGGACTAACATTTTTTTTCCTGACTGCAAAACCATTGCATCATGAAGAATGTTTAGTAAAATCTGACAAAGTCATAAAACAGTTTAAGTCTTCCAAAGATCCATTGAAGAAAATGCACCTCAGTAGCATGCATAAATTCCCTTATAAAACTTTACTACAAGACTGATCAACTGCACTAACTCCTGACTTATTAGTTTTTCAGTGGAAAGTGAAACCCAGAAAGCAACGTTGGAAAAACGAGTGTAACTGAAAGCGGAGTTTAAGTAATGCTATCAGTAACAGCAATCCAATATATGGGCTCAAGAAGGCATGATTAAGAGGCAGATGTTGGGTCAATCAATACAGCCTAGCCATCAGAAGCCATAGAAAATCCCAGGTCGGTTGCGTTTGATTAACACATCTTCTCCGTCACATGTAGTCATTATTGACGTCCATGAAATCACAGTCAGGAGTATCAGTATCACACCTTGCTGTATTCTGTTTCATTTATATTCTTTACCATTGACTTTGGATTAAAGGTAGACCTGTTTGTTACATTTCCATTAACTAATTACTGCTTTGAAGTTTATTTTATGTTTTTCTCCTATTGTAAGGGGAATTTTACAATTTGAGACTAACTTCTTGGTTGTAGAACTATGGGACAAAAAGTAGTTTACAAATATTTAATTTTAATTGGTACAAATAATTTGTAAAGCAACGAAATAAAAATTTATAATTATAAAACATTAAGTCACTCAAGAGTTACAAACACAAAGAGTTAAAAATGCTTTGAAATTGTCTTCAGCTGATCCATTAGGAGAGTAAATTTATTAGGGAGTTATGTCTAATCTATCTCTTTATTTTGGTTTGGTTTTTATTTTTGAAAGAGTGAAATGGGAGGGTACTTATTTTTTAATAGGGCGCATAGCTTACCTTCCTATTTATTAATTTGATACAGATATTTAGCTTAATGTTCAAGACTTCTTAGTTTGTATATACAATATTTTTTTATGGTTTTCAAATGACTAATAAATATAAATTGTATAACAATACTTACAACTTTCAATCATCATTGAGCAGATTTGGGTATCATGAGGATAGGACTCAAATTTCATAGCACATGACAGTACAAGTGTAAGCCTGAAAGACATGAAATTTTTAAAGTTTTGTCACTTATTGGACGATAAATCCAGTTTATCAATAATAGTTAGGTCAAAATACTCATCCGAGTTTTGAAAATGATATTGTTTTGCGTTCATTAACATAGTTTGCTTTGTAAAAATCTTTCATGAAGCCTTAGTTCCTTACAAGACTTATGTTCACTTTTATTTCTAGAAAACTACATCCTTAAGCTCAGAACGCACTGGGTCATGACAGCACAGACGGACAGTAGGAACGGGATTTTTAATAAATATTTAGCATTGATAAACCTATCTGTGCGCCCACTAGGCCGCCACGGTGTGCGTTCTATTAAAAAAGTGAGGAACATCCATATCAGCTGTACATCCCAGTGCGCACTTAGCTAAAGTTTTATTTCTAGCCTTATGTATTGAAAAACCTATGTCAGATGGAAAATAATGAGAGATTTCATTCAAACTTTGATTAAGAGATTAAACCATTACTCAAAAGTATAACATGCATTATCATGAAATAGCTTGGTACAAATACTTTGGATGCTTGAGTGGACATCTAATCTTTATGGACTAGGTGTAGCCAGTATTTTTATTCAGGGTAACGTAAGTAAATGAATGAATCCCTTGAAGAGTGTGCTAGTGTTTACTATTGGTTCTAATTGCTTGTTAGTTTTTCTCTGTATGATTTCTAATGAGGACGTGAAATATGCCGTAGTTTACTATGAGTGGACCTTTTTAGTTTGTCATGATTATTTTCATCAGCATACATTGGTGGATTAATTTAACTAAGTTTTTGTATAACCCTGACTATAACTTGGAAATTAAATTCCTACTTAATCGCTTTAATCTTCATATTGCTCATACATTGATGATAGGTATCTTTTCAACAAGAAACTACTGTAGTGGTGAAATATATTTTTAAATACCGACTCACTTTGACATGTAAAGAAGTGTTTTGTCGTGGTAGAGCCATAGATAATGGTTGGGAATACTCATTTCGTGAAAAGTTACTTTTTTGGCATTTTTGAAAAAACAGTCCGGTCTCCAGATATCATGCAGCCATTCGACGTCTAGTATCCTGTACTCCTCACTCATATTCTCTGGCAAGCGAAGTCTCGGGTCCCTCCAACTTTGTGCTAAGAAAATGTCTGCGACATAGGTCTATGGGAAGAAAATTAGGGTCAAATATAATATGTATTCCTATTGTCAATATCAAGAATATAAGCTACAGTTGATGTATGAAAGTAAAAGTGCCTTCTATGAATTTAACTAATTTTCATCGCAAAAAATATTAACACTTGTTTATTTTGTACAATTGCTTTTGATCCCGTTTTTAGAAATGGTATTACCATAATTTTGACCTGCAAATGTTTAAAATATAACCAAATAAACATGTGAACTCCTGGTGTATAGCAAAAACTCAAGTTAAAAATTGATCATATGTAACAATACAATTTTTATATTCAAAAATATTTTTTAACTACCAAAATAAGTCTTCGGAGACACGATATGTGAAGTTTAAAAGAATAACTTACTCCAGTATTTGATGTGAAATCCAAATGATTGTGACGATAAAAGCAAGGATAAATTTATTTGATAAGTTGAATGGTGTTACCGTACCATTTAAAATCAAAGCTAAGCCGTATGTTGGGTACAATTTCCTAGAAAATTAATTGATGAGTTTAAATTTTAACGTTACAAGTTTTTAGTACAAAAATCTCAATGATCATAATAAACAGATCTTAGTTTTCAAAAACCTTAAGTAACATGAAAGTAAGACAAATTATACTTTTTGTTGTACTTGTTGTAGTGACCATTACAATATTCCTTTCTTTGTCATTGACAAAGTGGTTGGTGACAATACAATAATATACCTATATTAATTTTGTGTGTGTACCTTTATAAATATTTTTACTATTGAGAAGACTCACCCACTGTACCGGTTTTTCTGTCAAATACAACATAAAACCTATATTGCCCTCTACCAAAAATATGTATAAAAAATTATATTTGTTTTATGATTGTGATATTTAAAACTAAAAACTAAACATTTGGTCTGATTCCCTTGATAATTAAAGGATGTTGAGGCATTACCTTCAAATTTTCTGAATTTTCAAACAATAAAATATTTAGAATTAACACATCTCAGTTTTCAAAAACTGCTCAGAGTGTAAGATAAAACGATGGCAGGCCCTAGTTGATCGTAATACAAGAGATACTAACCATTGATTCCTCATTGATTGAGTCCAGTGAGAGAACAGTGACATGGAAATAAACAATAGTTGCCTGTCCTTGGAACTTAGGTGCTCGGTTTTTGTCATAATGTTTTGGGTTGATGGGTAGAATGTCTCTTAGTGAGAGACTGGACTCTGTTACCATCCCAGGCTCTATCACGTCTCCCCCAGTCCTCCTGTAACAGAGCAAAACATTCGATGGCTCGCTTTGTCACTGCCAACCATCACACATGTCTTTGTACAAAGACTGATGACAAGGATCACTTACTCGGTCGAAACTACTTTAAGTACTTTTCAATATTAAGGTTTGTAAGTCTGATTGATTCTGTATTCATGGTATCACATCATTGTATATTTTGACTAGGTTTTCTGATGGATAGGAAAACCACATTAGTTAGAGATTTACACATGTGCATGATAGGAAAGTTGAATTGAGCAGGGTAACAAATACTATGTAAAAATTCAAGACCTGTATTTACAGCAATTTTTTTAAATTTTAAATCAAACCTGTCTTGGTGGATTTGGAACAAGAACAAGAATTATTCCCCTAACTGCTTGTACTTTCATGAACTTACAATTCATCTACATCAGTAATCGTATGATGCAGTTCGAAGTAGCGATTGAGCCTCCTATCTCGAACACAGAGCTGGGAAGTAAGTTCTTCGATTTGTTTGTGCGTCGACAACGTAAGGTTGGGATTGAGAGGGGCAGGGGTGGTGATGGGAAGCCATCTGGGATCGTAAATGTCCAAAAGAGTGGATGATATTTCTCCGGGAGGTGTCCATTTGTGGATCTCAGTTAGGACGGGGAATAAAGTCTGAAGTCGGAAACACCGATCGCCCATTCCTCGACAGTAATGGAGGATCGAGTTTGCCGAGTGGTGACCTCCTACAAATACAGACACGTTGCCTAAACGGCCCGCCATCAGGTCTAGAACTTGGGGGTCAGGTGTCCAGTCTCTGGTCACTTGGACCAATATGACGACTTCAGGCTCGCTGAGGGAGAGGGCCGAGTATAGCCTAGAAATGCCATCGATGTGTTGACTGATGCTGCAATGGCGCAATCGCTCTCGGTTGTTGGTTCCTCCCAACAATAAGAGGTGTCGGTGTTGTGGTTCGATGCAGGGCCCGTGGCACAACTTGTCTGTCCGAGGCCGATATCTGAACCCTGCAGGCTCCCTCGGTCTGCGGCCGTGGCGTGGTCGGTGACATCGCCTGAAACACCCCCACCACCGCGCTACAAGCTATACGCCATACATCTCTGTGTGACGTATTGAACTAACGTAAACATGTTAGGTTACAGTGGTCACAAACACATGAAATAACATAGTAAAAATCAATATTTATATTGCTGTGAAGTGTGAATGTGAGGTGAGATATTTAAAAAAATTGAAACTTTTATGCATTTTATATCAACACATATATGTTCAACTTGACATGTCATATGCTGTACAGATCATTGAAATTTTATTTTAAAAGGAATGCGTAGGTTTTGAAAAACTTTCCAGCTTGCCATTACAATTGTTCTAACACCTTACTCTTTTTACTGATGTAAGAGAACAACCAAAACGATCCTGTTAATAGGCCTACTGGTACATTTGTTGTAAAGTAAATCGTTTTTATTTATCGTTTAATCTTTAGATTAATTTAACCGATAATTGCTAAAGAAACATTAAAGGTTAATTGATAGGTCATGCATAAAACAAAATTACTAGAGATAGAGTGAGGTTTATAGGAATATGAGGAAGGATGAGTACCGGTAGGCCTAATTATTTTGATTACACCAAAAGTACGCAGACTAATATATTGTTGTATTTGCACTGCTTGTTTTAAAAGGTTGTGCAAAATGTGTAGTCAGAACTTTTGATTATGAGAAAGGTTTAACCGCTACCAAATAGATTTTAATGGGCTTCTAAATTTAGCTTACAGGCTACCTTTGGGAGAGTTTCATCAAATTTTCAAAAACAGTATCTTCTTTAGCAATTAAGTGTAATATCGGATCACTAATAGATTTTTGATCAGATATCAAATCAAATCAAAAAGTCTTTATTTCATATTGTACATCAAATGGCGTTGAAGCTACGCATCTATCAAAATATAGTGTGAAATATTCTGTGAAACTAATTGCTATGGAAGATGCAATGATGCATGATGATGATGACATTTTGCTTTCAAATTTTTTTTGAAAGCTGACAATTGTGTTTTATCATTTCTTTGAACCACTATTAGACATTTTGTTGTTTATGTCATTATGTGATCTAGTATATAATAAGTCATTTGGTGAATGTGATGTTAAGCAAGAATGTGATGGCAAAGATAAAAATAGTGTGTCAACTTGGAATGTGTTTCTAACTCAGATTGTTAAGTGTGGAAAAAGATGATCAAGATAAATTTTATTTTTTAGCTTGGTAACCTTGCGCACAACAGATATAAATTTATTTTGATACAGCTGTAATGCTCCCCATGCATACAACTGTTCCAATTTTTTTTTCTTTTTTTTCAGGGAAGCTTTGTATAGGTTTTAGGGAAGGGGAGAACCAATTGGAGGGACGTTTATCTCAAAGAAACTGATTGGTTGTGCAGTTAGTTTTTCATAGGTTTTTCTAATAGTTTGTGTTAAAGTAAGCCATCTTTTTCACAATCCTATCACTATAATCAAATTTACTTTCTCTGCCAGTAGTGTAGGAATGTTGGATATTATTCTCTTATTGGTACGGTAGCATAATAAAATTTTTTTTAATTGAAAAAACATTGATAAAATTACTGTCATCATGTTGTGGTGAATATATGTAGTGAATATACTATGTACACTAATAATGTGTGAACTCTTTTAAATGTCACACTTAATGAATTAACTAGTGAGTATTTATAGAATAGATTTTTAATTCTAATTCAAATGGTAGGCCTACATCTAGAAAGTGCAATATACTCACTCATTGCTGTTAGTGACGTGCCATAATGTAAATGCCGTCAACATAACCAGTAGGATGGATCTCGTCCACATTACAATCTGAAAAATTGATGAAATATTAACTAACAAGACAAGAATAATAACAAAAATATAAATATTCAGAGTGTTCCGTAAGTAAACAGCCACACTATGGGAAATGGTTCTATGGGTCAAAAAAAGAGAAAATCAAAGATAAGTTTTTTATTCTGACAACATTTTGTTAACCACATATTTGCTATTTTGTATTGTTAAAATATAAATGTGTATTATTGCATTTTTTCAACCTATCTTTTTCAAACTTATGTATTTGAAAGTGGAATAGACCTTAATTCATTTAGTGAAAAATTTGACTATCAAACTATGACATCCTTCAAAAAACATAATAATTATTAATGAAAATCCATGATGTGGCTTGTTTTAGAAACAAGCAGAAAACAAAAAAATATAATTTTCTTACTATCGTTAAACATTAACATTTTGAACGCTAATTAGAGAGGTAGGTTTTTTTGCGATAGTGTTTAAAATTATAAAAACTAGCTATATATGAAACATGAATGTTCTTTAAAATAGCAAAAGAATGAAAACATATACTTTTAAAAATATGATTTCAACATCTTAGTAGCTTAGGTGATTCTAAAAGTTTCAGTTTTTACTCAGATGGATGTAATAACAATATTTTTAATAATTATTTGGTTTCAACACATTTTCTACTATCTTGACAACAAGACTTTATATTTACAAAAATGTTAATTTGTTCTTCAAAAGAGGCTCATCATGTTTTTTGCTAAATCTGGTTAAAAAAAAACTCCAAAAAATCCACTAATTCCATTGGCATTAAGTAGAGTTTTATGGTAATTTAATTTGAAAGCCCTTATCGTTACCTTATCGTTTATAAATATTAAATTAACTATTATTCAAGGTTGAGGTTGAGAATAACTAAGTAATCCTGAAACACACCTCAAGTATACCATTTGAGCTATCTATGACTTAGGTCAGTTCGGGACGGCCGGATCAGGCTTTGGAATGGCATCATGACCTGGAACAAGAAGTATTTGCTGTAAAAATGCCATATGGTGCAAGCAATTCTTCATGCAAAATAAATAGAAAGTCCTTACAATTAACTGCCTAAACCCAAGGTTTAATGTAATTACATAGATGCAATATTTGATTCAACCAATTCTTCATTATTGCAATGTAAGTAGATATGAGTGTTGAACAATAAAAGACGTAGTCGATAATTGCCCTTTAGTTGCTTTTCTTAGTGGGTTGTCCACTCTGCAAAATATGAGCTCTTCATTCTATGGACAATGTTGAATACCACTTGGATTTAGCTTTGTTAAGGAGAGATGTTCAAGGGATATTCAAGATAATTTAATTTTTCTGAAGTTCTTCGTCTTAAATTATCTTTGGGGATGGCTGAAGAAACCCAAGTATATATATGTGTTTGAATTCCAATACTTTTATGGTGAGTAAGTCAAATGGATTAGTAAAATTTATAAGTCAGCTAGTTTAATTTTAGATACAAGGATATGTTTAGTCATTGCTCGATTTGTGGGGGAACGCTGTTCAACGACTAGAACGTCGACTGAACCTCTCTTTCAGAAACATAAAAATATTGGCATAAATATAGGTACTAATCACATTAAACAGGTTACAGTGCCGGCACCTCATTTTTTTACAAACTGAGCACTGTGTTTAGTAATTAGTAAGAAAATAATTTATAGCTTTCAATATATTTGAAACAAAAATGGATGGTAAATTCTCTTTGAATTGTCTCTTGAATCTCAGAATATCTGCAGTTTGTGAGTTCTGGATCTGGTCAATGAGAGCTTGACATTGTTTCCTGCATTCACCCGATTCCAGAGTATTTTGGAATGTTTAAATTAGCAGATCATCTATTACTTAATTTACTTCCCTTTGTGTTACTAGAAAGCTTATTCTTAGAAGTATATTTTGAGTGAAGCCTTTCAAGCTTTTTGTAACAATGAAATTAAATTTGAATGACCCACAGTCTAAAATTCCACATCGCCCAAAAAACTTATAAAACTGACAATATTGCATATTTGTACCTTTGATAATTTTGATAAAATGTATTTTTAAATTATATGGTAATGAAAAACTTTAAAAGACTTATGCCAGAATTCAGTTTTCTTTCCATTATAAGAGCACATTTACAATGTTTGCTCCCATTTAACTAATAGTTTTATTTTAATGTATAAACAACCCTTGTGAAAATCCTATCCAATTTTGAAAAAGACGATTTCCCTGGTCAAGTGAGTTATCATACTGTTAATGTGAGATAGTTTTGCAAAAAATCAACTCTTGCACAAATCACCTTTTTGTGAATGTGCTGAAAAATCGGCTCATATGGAATCCCTTCTGCCCTTCTGGAATTTTATGATTTTTTTGAGGCCACGAGGCTAGGCTCAGCCACGGCCACATTTAACTCCAGGCCACGGCCCTGTAGAATTGGCAACGTCCAAGGAGTGTTGTTTAGAGTCAGACGTCCCATAAGATAACATGGCAGACAGGTGACATCAGCTAATTAATTCGCACTTTATTGATTTAAATGTATGAACATAAATTTATTAAAATATTGAAAATCAAACTTACAGAATTGAAAACCAAAAACAATATGATTTAAAATCTATATCTATACATTTTAAGCGGAGTCAATATTTTCATAGTCCAGTAACCATTGTATTGAGTTGATTCCAGACCACATTGGAGTTGATTCTTTGAGATGTTCAGAGGTATGTAAATGTATATACTTCGTGTAATTTAACTTGGCTTGTAAAAATTGTTAAGTACTGTAGTGTTATTTTTTTTCTTCAGTATCTAATTCTAGTAAGTTGATTAATGGGCCATTTCAATTAATTTTTAAATAGCTTTGAGAGAGCTTTGATGTAGTTTTACCATATGATATAATTATTTTAACTTATTGTGACATTATTAATGTATGTATATACAAGATTAATAAAGAAATTTGACTATGACTATGACCAAGCTTTCGTAAATAGACAAATACCATTAGCTGCTTAAAAAAACAGCTGTTACAACCCTACTTGCGACGTTTCCACTTCGAAGGCCGCGGCCTGGAGTTAAAGGCGGCCGTGGCTCAGCACACTAGGTTAGCATGTGCCTGCTAAAGAAAGTATGTTGTGTTTACAGATATATGTATTGCATTTGCTGTGTGATCAAGAATGTAGTTCAGGATCAATTTAGTTTGCAGGCACTAGCATTCTGTCTGGGCCTATTTATATTCACATTTTATCCGTATCCGTTTGTTTGAACGATTCTATGGTTTTCATGTTTAGTTCCAATGCTGTCTTGATTTTACTTTTTATGTTTTCTATTTTAGGTTAAGTTCTAGAGACGAAATATTTTTACATACATGTTGGTTTTAATAGACAGTTTAAGAAGTAGTTTTCGAAATTAAAATTCGTTAACTAATTGATTCTTAATCGTCTCAGTTTTGTCTCGGGTTTGGCCAAAGATGGGTTGGTCGCAATGAAGTCTTACAATGTTGAATCAGGCATTAGCAGAAAACCGACACCGTTCCGTGTTGTAGAACTACGGATCGATTCGATACACTGGTTGAATATTGTACTATGGTGAAATCATCGATGTATATAGTCTAGTTATACTATATACATCATACATCGATGGGTGGAGCATGCCCATCTGAACAACAACTCAGTAAGATAGTTGCTTTGGGAAGAGTTAAGAATTTTAGCGTAATTTCGTAATTATTCTCAATTGTTTTGAATGTATTTGTACTGCTTCATTTAATATTTTCACTGACTGGTAGTACGCTGAAAATCTACTAAAATGCAGCCATTTTAGACGTATCTCACTACGTCTAAAATACTCCTTCAAAATTAATTCAATGTCTACCTCATTATTCAGCACCATATGCATACACGTATATAAATATTCAATAGGCAAGATCAAGTTTAATTACAACCTATTGATTGGGATCGGCCAATATAAATAAATGTGCTTCTGTATGATATATGATAAAGTATTTAATCACTATCGTAGATTAAGATCATACAAATTATGCTGACAGACGTTTCAATTGTATTAATTTTAAATCTTCACGAAATTAAATTTGTACAGTTATATTTTATCAATGTATTAGTAATTACCGTTTTTAGGTAGGCTACATAATGTAATATTTTTATGTTTCTATTAAATTCTTCAGAAATTCCTTTACTCATTAAATAAAATCAAGTACATTCAAGTACATTAAATCTTCTACAGTAGTTGTAAATTCGATAATTAATTGTGGTGTGGCTACCTTAAATGAAATAAGTACTCTAAGCACGCTATAGATGTGTTATAGTTTATAGTTAACGTCATAAAAACAGTATACATTTCCTTCTCCAGTTGGGCATAACGCACAGTGACGTCAACACAACCCATAGAAACTGCAAACAAATTGGTATCTCTTTTAGGTTAGAAACACGGGCCAAGAAATCGCGAATACGTTTCAAATTAGAATTTGAGTAAGGTCTTAGTTAAAATAAAATACAGTATGATTATCACAATTCTTCAAACATTCAAATCACTTGTCTATTTTGTTTCTAACAATAGCTGAGAACCACCGGGACAAACCATAATGCCGTGTGTTGAGTCAGTATGCTACGTCACAAATCACAATCTAACACACGATTCTACAATGTAATAATTACAAGCACCTGATTGTGTAAATGGGAGATAAATGTCCATGTGCCGTCAATGCATGATGTTCTCGGTAGTTGGTAGACAACGCGGAGCCTACAGCCTAACTGTACTGCTAATGGAATCATGAACGCCTAACAGGATTGCTAGTAATCCTCCACTTCGATACCCCCCACTTCTGTCTAAAGTTGGGTAACTCTTCCCCGCCCCGCCGAATTGCTTGATTGTTATGTTTTCATTACATATAAAATCGACGATGCGGTGTTAACATTCTAGGCTGAAACTCAAATTGGGTCACTCAAAGTACAACGAGTGGGGTTCGAGCCCGAGCCGGGGGCGTTTGACTTCTGACCCCTTTAGAGCCATCGATACCTTGATGTGATTCTTCCCTTCGCTGTTTCGTCACCCCAATCAATCTGTTCTAGAAAACAGATCTACCTCGCATGTCTAAATGTTCTTTTGAGAGGATTAATAATTCAAATTTTACAGAGTTTATTTACGGTTATACATTACATTCACTCACGAAATATCAACTTTTACAAAATTTAAATTTACTAAAGTTGATATTGTATACTTTGTATTAAAGATACACGCACAATTAAAGATGCTTCAATATTTAGGCCTATCTATATAAAATGTAAGGTCAGCTCAAAAAATATTGTGACAACTAATTCAGATAAAAAAACTTTATGAAAATGATGTAAATCTTAAATTGGCACTCCTCTTCACAGTCGGAGAATCCATAAATTTCATGGAGATTGTCATTTGATTGTCTTTGTCTTGTTTTTTTTTTCAGAGGTATTTTCTTGAGGACAGTACTGAACAGTTTACAACAATTTGTTGATTTAGGGAATAGTATTACTTAAATTTAAAAAGTGTCTCCTTGATATATTCACAGAATCTGTAATCACTCTTGTCAAATATTCTCATGTACCTGAAATGTGTCTCAGCTGCAATAAGGTCATCAAAATAATAAGGATTTTAGATTATTTTTCTTGGGTCTTAAAATAGTTCAGATCTTGCCCTCTTTGACAGTAATTTATTTGGTTGTATCATGAAGGATTCACTGTGCTTTAAATCTTACTCCTTCTATTGTTTTCCTTGTTAAAGAATGTGTCTTTTTAGGATCAGAATGTTCCAAGGCCAACAAGAGATAATGAACCCTTTCTTGCTAGTTGTTGTCTATTTCTGCCTAACTTGATATCAAAGTAGAGCACATTCTTCCCACCTACATAGGTACTTACACTTAATTTGCTGTTCAACACCTTTTTGGGGCTGACTGAAGACTAGCTCAGCGCTCTAATTGTAGCTTGGCTGTCAGGAAGGATAGCAAGTTTCTTGTAGTCCAAAAGGATGTCGAGTGTTAGTATTGTTATTTCATTCCAAAGCTCTGTATAAAGGGCATATTTAGTATTCTAGGAATCCTAATTATCATTAGATTTTGATAGTGGTAATCAACCAAATTGTCAATGTTATTTTAGAAATTTCCCTGAAAGGAAGTAGTTATTACTATAGTCTTCACGGTAAACCTAGCTCTGGGGACCATTTCATGTCATATCCTTAGGAAAGATGAAACTAAAAACACCATTAAACTGTTCAAATTGTTATATGTTGTATGCATTTTAATCATGACAACTCTTGTAAAAATTCTATACTTTTTATGAATTATGCATTAAACGTATAAAATGTTATATCTATTTGGTTGAGTTTCCATTTAGAAATCTTATCCAAAAATAGGAAGAGGGGCTTTGTATCTTGGCCATTGAGATTATTTTATAATTTTGTTAACATTTAAAAATATTTATCACAATGTATCACAATCTCTTCAAAGACAAACCATTTTTGTACAGTGTCAGTATAATTCATAATTCCTATTTGTTAGCCTTAGGCTACCGGCTACCTTGATATACAGGGTGACAATTAAGTCTTAGGACGACTTTATAACTCTCAAGCTATAAGAAATATCACACCAAATTAGGCATATCATTACTGGTAATTGTAAGCTACTTTTTTGTGTATATTGTGATAGGATGTTACCTATGGGGGATGGTCCATAAGGAGTAAGTTGAAAATATTAAAGGTAAGTATAGGTTGATATGCACATCAAAGTAAAAGTCTTGTTGAACTAAAAACAATGCCACAAACCGGACCTCAAATGGACAATAGAGTAAAAAATGACAGCTGTTCAAATATTCATTGAATTTTTTACAATGCTATTATACGCTAGAAGAAGGAAGAAAATCATAAACGTAACCATAGGTCGATATGCACATCTAGTTAAAGGCCTTTATTATTAGAATACAATGCCATAAATTTGAGCTCAAAAGAACATCTGAGTAAAAAATGGCAGCAGTTTACAGATTCAAAATGGCAGATTCAAGAAATTTTTGAATGGTTGCCATTTTTGACTCGGTTGTCCATTTGAGGTACGGTTACGACATCGTTTTTAGGTTAACAAGACCTTTAACTCAATGTGCATATCAACCTATGCTTATAACTTTTAAGATTTTCAACTTACTCACTATGGACCTTCCCCCATAGGTGACATCCTATCACCATGTACACAAATAAGTAGCTTACTAATACCAGTATAATATGAAAAAATTGGTTGTGATATATCTTTTCGTTTTAAAGTTGTAAAGTCGTCCTAAGACTTAATTGTCACTCTGTATTAAAAATGCTAGTGCCATGTCGCACAAATAAAATAAGAATAAGAATCCATTTATTGTCATTTGTCAAAATTAAATTGCTATAGACAACGTCAAAGAACAGAAATACAGTAATGTTATTCAAAAACTTCAATACAATGTTATTCTTCTGAGGTATGAACGATTTTAATCTAGATATATATTTTTTCTCACGTTTCGTAGAATTTTTCATTAGTTTTAGTGTTAAACAAAAACAAAATTTGAGAATAATGTTGTTTGTATAAAGTATGTGTTTGAATTTTAATCTTGTGTTATTTTTTACTGGAAATATGCTTAGTTTGTAGATTTGGTGCCACAGGTTTATATTATATCATAAACGCACATTTATCTTTGATCACTAGTCTATCTTTGATAACTGTGTTTTAGTCACTAGTCAGTAATCCACTACAATATATCATACAAAAAATAGGTACCCAATGTTCAATATTTATTCTAATAAATTCATTCTATAACCAAAATAAAAAACACTACATACTTACTGGAGTAGCCACTCTGGTACCTTAGGAGGTACTTAGCCTCACCCACGCACTGCCTCCAGGTGTCTCTTTCTTGAGCATAATTTTCACTCCTTCCCAATCTTCTAATATCTTTTTGGACTTCTCCATCTTAGCTTAGGCCGTCCTGGTCTTCCGCCTGGGGTTTCTGTCAAGTATGTTCTTCTTGGTGTAGCTCTTCTTTCTTCTCATAGTATGCCCAAACCATCTCAACTGTCTACTTTTGACTTCCACTACAATGTCTGAGTCTTTGTAGCGCTCTCTAAAGCCGGGTTTACACGCTACGATAAAACGTAACGATTTGTCTGCAACGACAAAAGGTTCATGCAAGACGGAACGTGTAAACTGGTAGTCGTTACGTTTTGTCTGAGTTGGAGTGAGGTTGGAAGGTTGGTGGAAATTTCCACCAATTTCTTTAGATCGTAGCGATTTTCTGTAGATCGTAGCGACAAGTCGTTGCGTGTAAACTGTGACTCGGTCATCGTTGCAACCTGTAGACCCTCCGATGTCACGTTGGTCCAGTTAACTGTTGTGTAATTGTACTGTGTAGTACTGTTGTTTTAACCGCTGTGGTATATTTGGACTGTGTAGAGTAGTGTAGTTTATTTTTAATGTTTTGTGTCACATTTGTCACTATGTCAGACATAAGTCAAGCCTCTCGTGACTTTTTAGTAGAGTTGAGGCCAATTTAGAATTAATCAACAAACATAAAGAAATTAACCCGTCTGCAGACAGGGCAATTGTCATCAACTTGCATGTTTCAGGTATTATTTTGCAGGAGGGATGTTTTAGAAATGAGTGTTGTGAATTCCAAGTCTTTGAAACTTCTACCAGTTGCAAGGAATCGTAAATGAGTCTTCCATGGGGAGATACTGCCTTTCTAATTATGGTGTTTTTTTATATGTGGAGAAAACATGTTCAATAAATCGTTGTAGGTATCCTCAGTTATTCTTAAGTAGTTCCTCCAGTCAGAGGGTTCGTTCCTCAACTCCTTTAGCAACTCCACATGAGATAACTGTTTTTTCAGTAGCCAATGCCGACTCCACTTACTTCTAGGTTTTCTTTTCCTCTTAAAACTTGTTGCAACAGAAATAATGTAAACAGACAATAACAATAACTCATCCATCGTCAAATATACAGGGAGCCTATTAACTACTTCACAACAAGATACATCTGGGAGTGGTTTGAGAGCCAAAGTTAGAGAAAAAGACGGAACGTGTAAATGGTCCGCTCAACCTACGACAAAACGTAACGATTAGTCGTTGCAGACAAGTCGTTATGTTTTATCGGAGCGTGTAAACCCGGCTTAATCTTGATGCATTCTCCTCCATACTCCATCCTTGAGCGTTGGGCCAAATATATTCCTAAAAACTTTGTTTTTATATCTTGTTATTTTCGTGTTCTGTCTTTTTGCTCATTATACATGTTTCTGACCTGTATAGTATAACCGGTCGCATTATTGTTTTGTAAATAAGTAATTCATTGTTGTTGGGTACCGTAGAATGGGGTGAATAGAAACACTTTTTGACTTTTAAGCTTCTGTAAAAACTATATTTTTAATTTTTAAATTTTCAACATTAGCTCATATTTCCGGTCTTGGACTCCTCTACTCAAACCAGTTATCAATTTTTTTTCTTTTTAATCATTAAGCAGAAAAAAAATAAAATATGGCTGTTTCTATTCACCCTGCACTTTGGGGTGAATAGAAACACTGTGTTAAATTGATGATTGTTGCTTTTCCCCACTTACCAGGGGCAATAGAAACATGAAATTTATGCTTGTTAGCTTAGGTTGTTGTAAATAAAAATATTTAAAGTTAATTAACAAATTTATTTATAAGTACAAAGTATAAAAACATCGTTTTCGTAAACCCTTATCCAAACAAATCGGAGAA